AGTGTCTTAGCCACTATGTTGGGCAATCTATTTCTGTAGTGATACCACCTTGGAAACCCAAGGAGGCGTTGCTATGAGTCAGGGGCAACTTGATAGCACATAACAATAACACTGCCCAAGGTATTTGACTGCTAAGCAGAAGGTTGGTGGTTCAAACCCACCAGCTGCTCCAGGAAAGGAAAATGGGGCAAATCTACTTCCGTAAAGATTTACTGCCTCAGAAACCCAATGGAGGCTGCTGTGAGTCAGAATTGACTTAATGGCAGTGGGGCAGTGGGTTTGTTTATGTCTTTTTTTAGAACTCAGATGAAATCTCAGAGAAACTATGTAGAAAGACAGACTTAATTCAGAATTTAGAAATGTTTGCAATTACATATTACTTCATATTAATATAAGTACATTCAAGTTGAATATCTTTAATATCTTCTTTAGTTGAATAATACATAGCACAAATGTATTAATAATTAATATAGCAGCATTTCATAGAGATTGCCCAATTTTTCTTTCATTAATTCAAGTGAGATTATTTCGTAAAATTTCTGAATCCATAATGTCAACTCCTTTTGTTTATTTCCATTTTTGCCATATTTTAGAAGAGATCTCTCTCTGAGGAAGATTTTTTTGGTATGTGCATTTTGTTTATGCTAGACATGCCAAATAGATCTCCCAAGATGAAATTCTGAGCTCATTTGGAAGTAATTTTTGGTAGCACATGAATCAGAACTCTTATTTTCTTCTCAGCACTACTGATATTTTATTGCTTCCATCTATAGTCCAATATGCTTTTAGCACTAAGAATCCTGAGGCCAAACACACAAAGCACTAAGAAAATGGGAACTTCTGGAGATTACAATTTTTGTCTCTCTTTCAGGGTTCTTCCCTCCCCTGGCAGAGTGAAATCACTTTAAGTTCACTATGAAACAGGAACATGGGGAGCACAAATGATTGACTGAAGTTGGTGATGTTGATTTAGGAGTCTTCGGCTTATAGGTCAGGTGTAAAACCCTTAAACCCGCTTGTCAAAGTCGCTTGTCAAATTCCTATGGATTTTTCCCAGCTCTGCTCAAATGTCATTTTCTCTATGGAGGCTTTTCTGGCCACCTCAGGCAGAGTTAGGCAGTTTCCCTTTTGTATCATTACAGCACCTAAACATATACCCATGGCAGCACTTATCAAGTAGCATTGCATTTATTTGTCTGTCTCTCTCCACTGGTGGCTAGAGAAGGACTATTCTCTTCCTTTTATCTGTGGCCTAGGACATTACTGAAATCAAGTAGGTTCTCAAATAATATTAATAATAATTGGATGGATAAATGGAGAATAGCTAATAATACTCCATGTCTGCGCAGCATAGGATATGAGATATTTCCAAATAGAATATCTTATTTGATTCTTACAACAGCCTAGTGAGGAAGGAGTGACAGGAATTATCATCTACCTTTTAGAAATGAGAAAACCAATGCCAAGAGAGGTTCCATGACCAATCCAAGTTCAAAACAGCTAATAAGTTGCATACTTTGTTTTCATGTTACCAAGTCAACACAAATATATAGATAGAAGTAATTGTAGGGGTGTTATATAAGGCAAAGATGTTCATGGCTGGTCAGGACTGCAGCAGATAAGTACTTCAGACTGGCTGACACATTTTAGGATGGGTTACCTGTTTTGAAAGCCTGGGAACTCAATATAAACGTTGAAGTCAGTAGAGAGAAAAAGATTATATATATATATGTATGTGTATATATATATATGTATGTATATATATATATGTGTATATATATATGTATATATGTGTGTATATATATATATATATATATATATTTGTAATACACATGATTGTCATTTTTAAATTTTAATCATGACTCACAGATTATTAAAGAATACTAAGTTCTTAGATCTCAATTATTCTAACATCTTCACTAACAAAGAAAGAAAGAAAGAAAGAAAAGAAAAGGAAGAAGGAAGAAAACAATAGATACCCAGTGTGGTAGTTAATGTTGAGTGTCAACTTGGCTGGCCTGGTTTTGATTGGCTGGGCAGCTGGCTGTAGTTATTCCCCATGATGAGAGAGACTGGTAATCAACTCCATGGGGGAATCTACTGTGAGCAGCTGATCCTTACGGAGGTTGTCTGTTTCCAGTATATAAGGAGCAGCTTTGAGGAAAGTCTCTAGCTTTCGGCATGCTTAGACTCTGTGTGTAGCTGAGTCTTCATCTCAATGGCCTGCCATGTCGTCTGCTGATCTTGGGACTCTTAATGGATTTGAATTAGTGGCCTGCCATGTTGCTTGATAATTTTGGGACTGTACCATTTTACTTGTCTACCTTGGGTTTGTCAGTCTCAGCATCCAGCAGCTGTCTGAGTTAAGAGAAACCTCCACCTCCAGTGGGCTGGGAGCAAGAAACAGAGCTGAAGCTCAAGGTCGAAGGGCCTTCACTCAGCCTCCAGAGCTGGCACTTTGAACTTGGACTTCTAGCCTTCTAAAGTGTATGAGAATAAATCCTTGTTTGTTAAAGCCATCCATTTGTGGTATATCTGTTATAATAGCAGTACTAGACAACCAAAACAGCCAGATAAGATAAATGACTACCTAAATGGCATAGTGCCTAAGGCATTTGACTGCTAACCAGAAGGCCAGCAGTTCAAATTCACCAGCCACTCCTCAGAAGGAAGACTGGGCAATCTCCTTCCGCAGAGATACCACCCTGGAAACCGAAGGAAGGGTCGCTATGAGTTGGAAAAGACCCAACAGAAGTGAGTTTGGTTTTGGTTTTAAAGTTACACAGCTTATTAGTGGCAGCACCAGGGTGCAATACTTGGTCTTCTCAACATGGACATCTTTATATGTTTTTAACAAGTTATGATTTAGAAGTTGTTATGGTTTAAAGTGTGTCCTCCAAAAGCACATGTTGGAATCCTAACCCCTTTATTTGTGGATATAATCCTACAGAGAAATAGGCTTTTCTTTGTTATGTTAATGAGACCATATCAGTGTATGGTGTGTTTTAAACCAATCACTTTTGAGATTTAAAAAGATCAGATTAGGCACAAAAAGAAGCAAGGACAAAATGAGGAAGACAGATGCCACAGGAAGATTGCCTAGAATATGGGGGCCACAGAAGCTGACGGAGACAGCAGAAGGATCTTCCCCCAGAGCTAAGACAGGGAGAAACTTTCCCTAGAGCTAGTGCTCTAAATTCAGGCTTTTAGCCTCCTAAGCTGTAAGAAAAGGGCTCTGATGGCATAGTGCCTAAGGCACTTGGCTGCTAACCAGAAGACCAGTGGTTCAAATTCACCAGCCACTCCTCAGAAGGAAGGTGGGGCAATCTACTTCTGTAGTGATACTGCCTCAGAAACCCAAGGAGGGGTCGCTATGAGTCAAGTTCAACTCGATGGCACATAACAACAACAACAAAAAGCTGTGAGAAAAAAATAAAAGAGTTCTGTTTTTTAAAACTACCACTTGTGTTTCTGTTACAGCAGCATCAACAAGCTAAAACAGAATTCCTGCTAGTCCTAAGGAAGTCTTCTAAACAGCTGACTACTTTGACTATACATAGGTTGTACCACAGGAATTCCCTTGGGAAAATGCTGTAACATGGGTGAAGAATACCATATACTACTCTGTGTACTGGAGTGGGGGGGACACATTATGTGACATGTAGTATTTTAGGACCCAATTCATTTAGAACACACTTTTTAATGAAGACTGACAATATTCACCCAGAGACACTGATGTTACAAAAATAATTTGCTGGATTTATCCTTTCTATATGCCAACAATTTTTTTAAAATGAATCCAAGCGTTCATGTTGGATTTATAGGTTTTAAATTTTTAAGATGGTTTGACCATTTTCACTTAGCCTTATCTCTATTTATAGCAGCACATATTCCACCAGTTATTCGACAGCTAAAAAGTTAATTATTAAAGGGTAAAGACCAAAGACCACTATCAACTAGTATCACAGCAGGAAAAGGGGGAGGGGGGATGAAAGTATTTATGAAAGTCTTTGGTTTAGCTTCTGTTTCTAAAGTTGTTTGTTTAACTGTGGGAATGTGCTATGGGTTATATGACCTAGGTTAGAAGATGACAGCAATTTGCTTTCCACAAACATAATTACATTTCAAAAATTATGTAATTCACATAAAAATCATATCATTTCATGGGGCAACACCATTGGGTGAGCCTTATTTAACAACTGCTTTGAGAAAAGAAACATACCTTACATTGCAATTAAATGGCTTGTTCATTGATCTTTCCTACTGAAGGTAATTGCTTTAGTTCCTTTCTTGAAATATACAGACCTTTACCTGTTTGATATGACCTATTTTCATATCTTTCTTTTACTATCATAATCAGTGTCTGTGCTCTTCCTTCTACTCCTTCCCTGGAAGCAAAGGAGATTTATTTCCACAGTATTTTTCACAGCAAAGCCTTTGCTTCCCTCTAGGATCATAACTTGTACCCTGATTGCCCACCTCCAATTAATGCTGATATTTACTGTTAGCCCCAAGAGTTATAGTTTAAAACAAGAGCCCACATACTAAAAAAAACTTCAGGTATTCAAGGTCATTTACATAGTCCAATTCAAAACCAGTTTCTCATTTAGGCTATGAGAGAATCTTGTTCATAAATCAATCACAACATTTTAATGTGTTAAATGGAAGATAATTTTGAATATTTTAAAAGCTAGATGACATTCAAATATTATACTGTGTAAAAATCAGGATTGTTTAAGTACAAAATCATTCATTTTCCATAAAATTTCAGTAGAATATTTCCTATGAATACATAAAGTTGAAGATAATTCATTTAGGTCCCCATCACACACTAAACCAGCCAACAATTTTTACCCATATCATAGGTTTATACTGTCATTTCCTCTTATAAGACTATAACATGAAATCAATACGGTCAACAGGTACACAAAATGCCAACAGAAGAAGTTATTTGAAAATAAAAGCAATAGGTTTGTAATGCTTTGAGATATATTACTTACCAGAAACAAAGTTCGGAAATTGCTGAGATCACCAAAAAATTCTTCTATGCTCACTGTCTTAGAGTCAAAAATGAAATATTCTCCAAGATTCTCATAGAGCTTCATCATGTTGTTATACATGGTGAACAGTTTGTCATATTGGTCTCTGGCACCCTTTGTAAAGCTGTAGCTTTGTGTTAAGGAACATGAAATAATATCTCAAAGGCAATCACTAGATATTAGGATTGAATTATACTATCATTTCTGTAGATAATTGTTATACTTATATTGTTAAGTTTTGAATGTCTATATATTCAGCAGAACTATTTACTATAGACCTATGGAGACAGGAAGCAATTAGAACATGTTTGCTTAATGAAAGCACTTAAGTACCAGAAAACTGTCTCACATCTTTATAAAAGGTACACACACACACACACACACATATACACACAGTGGCACTGATTTGATTCCGACTCACAGTGATCTCCATACAGTTTCAAAGGCTGTACATCTTGATGGAAGCAGACAGCCTCATCTTTCTGCCGCAGAGTGGCTTTTAGGTTTGAATTCTGACCTTTTGGTGTCTTAACCACTACACCACGAGAGCTCCTTAACAACTCAGAAGTACATATTATGAATATTTTGGAGCATTTCTTTCTGGTCTTTCTTATAACTCTAAAACTTTTGAATGTTAACTGACGAGACCGCTGCAGAGAATGTTAAGCTGGATAACCATAATAACTAATAAAATAAACCAAATCAAGATTTTAAAATAGAAATAAATCCATTAAAATCTCAATAATGACCACAGAAGTAAAATTTCTCTAGTTGGAAAAGCAATGGACTTGGAATTTTAAAAGAATAATAATAGCACAGTTTGGGGCATATTATTTTAAGATCCAATAGAGTATTCCTATTTTGTGGTGGTATTATTTTATCAGCACTGATAATTGTGCCTTGAAATACTTGATTTTATAAGGTTTTCTGAATTCTTCAGTAGGGCCAAATTTATTTTCCATGAGACCACAGCTCCAGTTTTACAATGGAACTCAATGGGGAAATCAGACCATTTCTGCAAAATTACTTTGCAGCTGACACTTATGAGATACACTTTGATTTTGAAAGTGAGATCCCCCCCCCACTTATATTCTATTTATGTTACTTAAGTACTGTCATTCACATTAGCAACACAACAACCCTAACTTCCTAAAAAACGAACAAACAAACAAAAATCCCAAACCCACTGCCATCCAGTTGATTGCAACTTATAGCAACCCTATTGGGTTTCTAAGGAGCTCTGATAGCATAATGGCTAAGGCACTTGACTGCTAACCAGAAGGCTGGCAGTTCAAACCCACCAGCCACTCCTCGGAAGGAAGATGGGGCAATCTACTTCCGTAGTGATACTGCCTCGGAAACCCAAGGAGGGGTTGCTATGAGTCGGGTCCGACTCGACGGCACACAACAACAACAACAACATTGAGTTTCCAAGGCTGTAAATCTTTATGGAAGTAGATTGCCTCATCTTCCTCTCATGGAGCATCTGGTCTGTTTGAACGGGCGCCCCTCTGGTTAGCAGTCAAATCCCTTACCCACCATGCCATCTACTTCTGTAAAGATCTACAGCCTTGGAAACCCAATGGGGATTGTTATGAGTCAGAATCGACTTGATGGCAGTGGTTCTCCCTCCTAACAAGTAACATTAAATCTTTCAATACTTAAGTCCATTGGATGTCAACAGAGTTGAAAGAATCCATAAATTTTTGGCATACTCTATTTTAATTAATTAAAGATACATAATACTTCATACACATTCTGATTTTACCTTTGAGACTACCACTATACATTTTTCCATTTTAAAGGAAATGTTAAACGTCCTGTTTACGTAGTACAGAAATACAATATTCCTCATTTCTCTCTATACACAGTATAGGAGATTTTGTTTTCTAGTCTCTTTTTCCCAAATTAAACAGACTCATGCCAGAAACTTGCTAGGCAGAAACACTTTTCTAAGGTCACTTACTTGTAATCTATTTGCAATTCAAAGTGTTTGTATATTTCAGAAAGTTCAACATCTGCACATTGAGAGAAAGGCAATGATAACAAAAAGAAAAAAAGCAAAAACTGTGTTGCCCATTAATCATTCCATAAGTTTTAACAACCTAAAAAATGTTCTTTAAGCGATACACAATTTTATAAATTTGTTCTTATAGACAAGAACTGATTTCAGAAATTCTATCTGTATACCAAAATGAGAAAATTTGAAATATTCTGGTAATGGTTTATCTTAGAAATAACAAATGGAAAGCAAGTCAATCTCCAAGTCCTTCACTTAACTTCAAAGTTGTAAAAGGGATAGACGGCATGAGTCAGCACTGTAATCTTTCACAGTTGCAGATATGTCAGCCAGTCCTACTTGGGACTGCAGGCGAAAATGAACTAGACAGCATCAGTCCTTTTCACCACTCTGCTTCATTTAGGAAATTCTGTTTTGTTTTTCTATTTTTTAGTGCAACCACTAAATACAAGTTACTGGTTGGTAAGCATTGTGATTGACACAATGATCATTAAAACCTAATCCTTATCTAATATTATCAATATTCTACCATTATTAATTTGCATTTGTACAGGATCTTACAATATACTTTTCCCTCCATTATGTTCCATGCATATTAGTTACAATAAAGATGATCTTTATGATGTCAAATCCAGTGTTCATTCCTCTGTCCTCCTTTGAATGTCTCAGCAGCATCCTACACATTGAGCCACTTCTTAGTTTCTGTGACATATGCTAATGTTGAAAAAGATTTTTTTTCTCTTAATTCCTGAGGACTTGATTCTGAGCTCTCTACATTCTCTGCCTTTTTGACTTCAGCTATTTTCATGGCGGGAGCTCTGGTAGCATAGTGGCTAAGACACTTGCCTGCTAACCAGACGGCTGGCGGTTCAAACTCACCAGCCACTCCTCGGAAGGAAGGTTGGGCAATCCTACTTCCGTAGTGATACTGCCTCGGAAACCCAAGGAGGGGTCGCTATGAGTCGGGGCCGACTCGACGGCACATAACAACAACAACAATAATAATTTTCATGAAATTCCAAAAAAAAAAAAAAACAAACTCACTGTCCTTGAGTTGTGTCCGACTCATAGCAACCCCACCTTGGATTTCCAAGACTGTATTACTACAGAAGTACATTGGCCAACTTTCCTTCTGAGGAGTGGCTGGTAGATACTATTTATATGTTGATGAGTAGCCCTGGTGGTGCAGTAGCATGGCTGATAACTGAAACGTCAGCAGTTTGAACCTACCAGCTGCTCCATGGGACAGAGATGCAGCTGTGTGGTTCAATAAAGATTTACAGCCTGGGAAACTCTATGAGGCAGTTCTCCCTGTCCTATAGGGTCACAATGAATCAGAAGCAACTCTATTGTGATGGATTATGTTGATGACTCCCCAAATTATATATCTAGCCCCAACCTCTTTTCTGAGATCCAAACTTGTATAAAATCAACTGCCTCCTTGTCATCTAGGAGCTGTGGTAGCGTAGTGCCTAAGGCATTTGATTGCTAACCAGAAGGCTGGCAGTTCAAACCTACCAGCCACTCCTCTGAAGGAAGGTTGGGCAATCTACTTCCATAGTGATACTGCCTCGGAAACACAAGGAGGGGTCGCTATGAGTCGGGTCTGACTTGATGGCACATAACAACAACTTGTCATCTGTAATTTAATTTATTTGTTTGCTTTATGGAACCTATTGGTATCTCAAATGTAAATCCTCTCCTTAAAATCCCTCCAACAGCTTTCTACAACACTTAGAATAAAACCTAAACATATTCTCAGGGTTTATAAGGCTCTTTATGATCTGGAAGGAACTCTGGTGGAGCAGTGGTTAAGGCACTCGGTTGCTAAGCAAAAGGTCTGGGGTTTGAACCCACCATCTGCTCTGTTTGAGAAAGATGAGGCAATCTGTTTTCTTGCAGATTTGCAGCCTTGGAAATCCTATGGGGAAGTTCTACTCTGTCCTATAGGGTCGCTATGGGTCAGGATCAATTTGATGGCAGTGAGTATGTTTTTGTAGCTCGTTTCTGTCCACCTCTGCAACCTAATATCATGCCATTTTCCATCTTAAAGCAATATGCATAGCCACATTAACTTCTTTATGTTCCTTGAACATACCAAGCTAACGTCCAAAGCTTTTGCACTTGCTATTCTATCTAGAATATTTCCTTTCCACCAGGTCATTCAATCTCAGCCCAAATTTCACCTTCCTACAGTGGCTCTCCCCAAACATCTAATCTAAAATATCCACCCCTCATCACTATTTTTCTGGCCTATTTTATTTCATTCTGAGCACTTTGCACTTTCTGATATTATCTCTTTTATATACAATGGAACCTGAGAGCCAGAACTCGACAGCACTGATTTATTTTTCTGAGTCTTACAAGTTTTCCACCATTGACAGACTGCAGTCACTACTTTTCTACTGTTCTGTTTAGTGGAAAATATTTTACCTTTCCTTCTCTGATAGGTTTCCACCTTACACAAGTTCTGGCTTTCACATATATTACTGTATTTATTTGTTTACTGCCCACCTTTGCCCATTTAAAAATGTGGTCCATGAGAGTAGACTTTGCCTGTCTTGTTTAACACAGACTCATCAGCACGTAGAACAGTACCTGACACATACAAGAAATAATAGTGTTACAGAGTCAAACTGTTCCATAGGGTTCTCTTGACTGTAATTTTTAGAGGAGTAGATCACCTCTATGGCTCTGCTTGAATGGGTTCAAACTGCCAACGTTTAGATTAATAGTTAAGGGCAACGCATCTGTGCCACTGAGGGACCTTCATAGAATTAAAATGAACAATGACAATAATGACAATAATTTCTAACTTTTTAATTTTGTAATTTACTCTAGTCCAGGGACTGTGAAACGCTTCCCACAGATTAACTCATTTAATCCTCTCAACAGTTTTTCTGAGGTAAGAATTTTTACTAAAGTCTCACAATTGATGAGTCACACAATAGGAACAAACTGATTGTAGCTCCAGAGCCCATCTCCTTAACCACTATGCTATAAAGCTTCTTGTTAGATATTTGTTGTAAGAAAGAAGCTTCATTATAACATTGTATTGGAGAATGGGTCATGGGGGTGATATGGGTAATTAAGAAACCAAAACCTC